GAGAAGGAGGAAAAGAGAAAGAGAAAAAAAAAAGAAAGGAGAAGGAGGAACATATAAGAGTGAAAGATGCACTGTGACAGAGACGTGTCGAAGGAACCGTGAAAGGCACCGTGAGAGTTAGTGGGGAGGAGGAGGCAGCGTGTGGGGGAGGGGAGGGGGAGAGGGAAGAGAGAGGAAGGAAGGGGGAGAGGGAAGAGATGGGGGGTGGGAGGAGAGGGGTAGAGGGAAGAGGGAAGAGATTTGGAGTGGGGGGAGAGGGCAGAGAGGGGGGTTGGGGAGGCGAGAGAGGAAGGGAAGGCATGTATAAGTTATAAGGTATGAGAAGGTACATGAAACAGCGCCGTAACCTGGTCTCAATATGGGATAGAGAAAGGGGGGGGGGCGAATTCCATCTTAAGATTTTGACGTATTTAACTTTCCTCGGGAACTGGGAGATTTGAAGACGCCTCTCAGCATATTAAGGGAAATCTGATATTTAGGGTCGTCGTCACTTCAAGCCTACCAGATTGTTTAATCTTTTTTTTCCTCTCCTTTCCCCCTTTTTTTCTATTTTTTTTCTTGTTGTTTGTGTGTGGAATCTTGCGAATCTGCGACTGCCTGAGGCCATAGAACATCTGTGTCATGTCTTATCCACTTCTTATCTCTTCTTAAACACCGATAAACGACAAAAGAGGCACATGGCCTCCACGGAAGCGAGAGGTGGCCAACGCATCTCCGGAAAACGCGAGCAGATGGCCACGCTAACAACCCGTGTAACACTTCACACTTGAAGGATTCGATCCTGATTGTACCTTGTACGGCTTGGTAATGGCTGGGTGTACTCTCTCCTGTTCTCTCTCTCCCCCGTAAGCACAACAGGAGGAAGAGAACAATAGGTGTTATGCGGTATGCTAATGTATTCTAATCGGGGAATTGCACTGGATTGATTTCTTGCAGTTGAAGCCCACTGGGGTGAACGGGGGTTTGCAAGACAGAGGTACGTTACAGCTGTGACGGTAGGGTTGTGACGCAGATGTCTTCGGCGCAGGTGTGTGGTTGGGGGGAGGGGGAGTGGGAAGGGGAGGGGGAGGGGTGGCGGAGGGAATCAGGGGTGGTTACGTATCGGAAAAGGTCACGAGGGGATTACGTAACACAGGTTTTCTCCGTCGGTTCAGTAGCGGGAGTCGTGGCTGTGAGGCTCGTTGTGGTCACCTGGCACCTGCGAGACCCAACAGCTGATTCCAGTGCCACAGGTGAATCCGCATTTGCGCTCGTGTAGTTTAAGGCTTATGCAATGCGAATCGATAAAAGATAGTCCGTTTGATCGATGATTGCTATTATTTTCAATGATAAGAAAATCATGGCGTATTTTTCCTCAACAGGACATGCGGGAGACCTTGCGAAATGAACGATTAATTTATCTTAACGGCTGTAATAATTAATTGCATTCTGATCAGACCTTGTAATTGCGAATTGAATTACTGATTATACCGTGCACAATCTGTGATTACAAACAAATGCGTTTCAAATCGTGCTGTTACGAAATGAAAAAAAAATCTATCAATCAATATCATACTGTTAATAAAACTATATCATTGGAAAGTATAAATTTCTCAACATTTCATCACGGTCATCTCATCAACTCACGAGATATTTATCAAACAAATATCAAAACAGATAGACCGAGAACATTTGAGAGGCAGTATATCCTCCTCCTTTTCTCTCTCTCCATTTTTTTTTTTTAAATTTCTCCTTTCTATTTATATCATTCTATTTCTTGTTTTGTTTTGTTTTGTTTTTTGTTTTTTTTCCACGCGAGCTAAATTTAACGGGACCATCTGCGGCCAAGGCTTCCTGTGTAGCATTATGGTAATTGATCGGTTTAAGTCTTTTTTTCCCCTACCTGGCCGATCTGTCTCGTTAGTGCATCCGCTCGTTGGGCAGGTAAGGCTAAAGGGGGGGGGGGGGGGGGTGGCGGGATGGTGGGTGGGGGGAGGGAAGGTGGCGGGATGGTGGTTGGGGGGGGAGGTGGGGGAAGGGGAGGGGGGAGGGGTTAAGTAGGTTCCGGTGGTCATAGCGGGTATTGGGGTGGTGGTGGGAGGGGGGGGGTTGAGGGGAGGGAGGGGGAGGAAGAGGAGGGAGGGGTCCTGACCTTAAGGATCTGTCCTTTCCTATTCCTCCTTCCGATCTTCCTGCTGCTTCTCTTCCTTCTCTTCCTGTCTGTTTATTGTTTATTCTCTCCTCTACTTTTTTTCTTCCATCTTTCTTGTGATATGTCTTCCTATCCTCCTCCTCCTCTTCCTCCTCCTCCTCCTCCTCCTCCTCCTCCTCCTCCTCCTCCTCCTCCTTCTCCTCCTCCTCTTCCTCTTCTTCTTCTTCTTCCTCTTCTTCCTCTTCTTCTTTTTCTTCCTATTCCTCTTCTTCTTCTTCCTCTTCTTCCTCTTTTTCTTCCCCCTCCCCTCCCCCTCATCTTTCCAGGCTTCGCTTCCTGCCTTCCTTCCTCTCTTCTCTCTCTTTCCCTCTCTTATCTATCTCCCGTTTCCTTTGGCCGGTTTCCTGTTTCCCCTTCTCTTCTTCCCCCGTTTACCACCTGTTCCGAAGAGTGTGGGAACGGGGAGAGATAAGATGGAAGATGGTGCATAAGGATCATGACGATAATGATAATGATGATAGTGATATGGCTGATGATAATGATAATGATGATAGTGATATGGCTGGTGATGATGATAATGATGATAGTGATATGGCTGGTGATGATGATAATGATGATAGTGGTATGGCTGGTGATAATGATAATGATGACAGTGATATGGCTGATGATGATGATGGTCATGGCAATAATAGTGTTAATAGAATGGTAATGATGATGATTAAGATCGTAATAAGAA